TCCCACATACCTGAATTCTCAAGTCCCACTTGTGGGTAGCCTGATTTAAGGTAGTGGATACCAGGAATGGTCCTAAGAAACAGCATATAAAGATAGAATTCCAGGCAACAGATGGGCAGTTGTGTCAGGCTCCCTCCTCTGAGGACTCGTGCTAAATATGGGTAGAAAGGGATATGTTGACTAACTCAAACTCCTGGTATTCTAGGATGTGAAGGAAGTAGTAATTAGAACTGTGAAATTGGGCTCAGCGCCTGTGGCTCAAGTGGCTAAGCCACCAGCCACATACACCAAAGGTGGCGGGTTCAAATCCAGCCTGGGCCCACCAAACAACAATGACGGCTGCAACCAAAAAATAGCTAGGCGTTGTGGCAGGTGCCTGTGGTCCCAGCTACTCGGGAGGCTGAGGCAGGAGACTCGCTTGAGCCCAGGAGTTGGAAGTTGCTGTGAGCTGTGATGCCACAGCACTCTACCCAGGGGAACAGCTTGAGCCTCCTGTCTCAAAAAAAAAAAAAAAAACGCACTGTAAAATTGGTGGCGCCTGTGGCTCAGTGGGTAGGGCACCAGCCCCATATACCAAGAGTGGCGGGTTCAAACCCAGCCCCAGCCAAACTGCAACAAAAAGCCAGGCCTTGTGGCAAGAGCTATAGTCCCAGCTACTTGGGAGGCTGAGGCAAGAGAATTGCCTAAGCCCAGGAGTTGGAGGTTGCTATGAGCTGTGTGCGGCCACAGCACTCTACTGAGGGCAATAGAGTGAGACTCTGTCTCAAAAAAAAAAGAAAAGAAAAGAATAGAACCGTGAAATTGAGGCCGGGTGTGGTGGCTCATGCCTGTAATCCTAACACTGGGAGGCTAAGGTGTGTGGATTGCCTGAGCTCATAGGTTGGAGAAAAGCCTGAGCCAGAGTGAGACTTTGTCTCTAAAAATAGCTGGGCATTGTGGCAGGGCCCTATAGTCCCAGATACTTGAGAGGCTGAGGCAAGAGAAACTCTTAAGCCCAAGACTTTGAGGTTGCTGTGAGCTATGATGCCACAGTACTCTAACAAGGGTAACAAAGTGAGACTCAGAAAAAAAAAACAACTGTGAAATTGGGTAGGCACAGATGCTTTAAAGGGGAAAGTGATGGGCTCTGGGCAGTAAATCACCCATATAAAGCAAAGCATAAAGCCAGAGAGCCTCCTTAGGCTCTGTTCTGTCCTATGTAGTCAGATGGCAGATAGTCCTAAGGAACATGCTCAAGACTTAAAAGGAGCAGAATTTTAGAAAGAGTCAAATTGTCAGTCAAAATTGGTCTCTAACATCAAAATCAAGACATGAGCACATGAAATGTAGTTTGATGTGCCTGAGAAATTGCATTTTTAATTTTATTTAATTGTCACTAATTTAGGCCAAACTCAGTGGTTCAATATTTGGGACCCTGAGGAGGGATGATCGCTTAAGGCCAGGAATTCAAAACCAGCCTGGGCAACATAGCAAGACTCTGTCTCTAAAAAGAAAATTTAACTTTAAATGTCCACATGTGGTTACTATATTAGACAGTAAGCTTTAAGTTATTCTGATTAGAATATGTTCACTATGTCATTTTTTTTTTGTCTTATTTTGTTTTTGAGACAAAGTCTCACTTTGTGGCCCTTGGTAGAGTGCTGTAGCGTCATAGCTCACAGCAATCTCAAACTCTTGGGCTTAAGTAATCCTCTTGCCTCAGCCTTCCAAGTAGCTGGGATATAGGCCCCCATCACAATGCCCACCTATTTTTAGAGACCCTCTGGCTCAGGCTGGTCTGGAACCTGTGAGCTCAGGCAGTCCACCTGCTTTGGCCTCCCAGAGTGCTAGGATTGATTACAGGCATGAGCTACCGTTCCTGACCTCACTATAGCATTGTTTAACAATACTAAAAATTGGGGGGGCGCCCTCTGTGAGTAGGGCACTGGCCCCATATACCAAGGGTGGTGAGTTCAAATTCAGCCCCAGCCAAACTGCAACAAAAAATAGCCGGGTGTTGTGGCAGACACTTATAGTCACAGCTACTCAGGAGGCTGAGGCAAGAGAATCACCTAAGCCCAAGAGCTGGAGGTTGCTGTGAGCTGTGATGTTACAGCAATCTACCAAGGGTGACAAAGAGTCTGTCTCCTAAAAAAAAAAAAAAAACTGAAAATTTGAAATACCTTTAAGAGAGAAATAACTAAATGAACCATGAAATATACACAGTTCCATTGATATGAGTGGAGAAAGCTGTTAAGAATTCTGGATAAGGGCCAGGCATGGTGGTTCACACCTATAATCATAGCACTCTGGGAGGCCGAGGCGGGTGGATTGCCTGAGCTCACAGGTGTGAGACTAGCCTGAGCTAGACTGAGACCCCCACCACTAAAAATAGCCAGGCCTTGTGGTGGGCACCCGTAATCCCAGCTACTTGGGAGGCTAAGGCAAGAAAATTGCTTGGGTGTGACAAAGTGAGACTCTGTCTAAAGAAGAATTCTGGTACTGCACACAGCCAGGTGCCATGGCTCAGGCTTGTAATCTTAATACTTTGGGAGGCTGAATCTGGTAGATTAGCCTGAGCTCAGGAACTCATGATCAGCCTGAGCAAGAGTGAGGAATTCAAGACCAGCCTGGGCAACATAGCAAGACTTTGTCTAGAGTCTGTTAAGACTCAACTTTATTAAAAATAGAAAACTAGCTGTGTGTTGTGGTGGGCACCTATAGTCCTAGCTACTCAGGAGGCTGAGGCAAGAGGATGCTTGAGCCCAAGTGGTGAGCACACAGCAACCTCAAACTCTTGTGTTCAAGCAAACCTCTTGCCTCAGCTTCCTTGAGGTTGTGGTGAGCTATGATGCCACATTATGGGTACCACACCCTGCTACTACCCAGGGCAATGGAGTATGTCTAAAAAAATAATCTGGACATCAGGAAAAAGGGGCTGGGGTGTGTAACATTGCAAAAAATTCAGATCCACCTTTCCTGGGATCTCTGATTTTTTTCCTGGTCCCCTACCAATACTTGTGCCCCTGAATAAGCAGCCTATAGCAGTGCTGTCCAATAGAAATACAATATGAGGCCAGGCTCAGTGGCTCATGCCTGTAATTCTAGCACTCTGAAAGGCTGAGGCAGGTAGATTGCTTGAGCTCAGGAGTTCAAAACCAGCCTGAGCAAGAGCAAGACCCCTTCTCTACTAAAAATAGAAAAACTAGCCAGTGTTCATGAGAATTGCTTAAGCCCCAGAGTTTAAGGTTGCTGTGAACTTTGATACTACAGCACTCTACCGAGGGCAACAAAGTCAGACTCTGTCTCAAAAAAGAAAAAGAAAAACTAGCCAGTGTTGTGGTAGGCACCTGTAGACCCAGCTACTTGGAAGGTTGAGGGAAGAGTATCTCGAGCCTAAGAATTGAGGTTGCTGTGAGATATGATGCCATGGCACACTACCCGGGGCAACAGAGTGAACTCTGTCTCAAAAAAAGAATATATATATATATATATATATATATATAATGTAAGCTACTTATGTAATTAAAAAAAATGATAGATTAATTTTAATAATTATTTCATTTAACTCAAACACCAAAAATATTGAAACACAGGGCACTAACCACATTTCAGATGCTGAGTAAGTAATTCAGATACCCACAATTGGTAGGTAGCTATGGTATTAGATACTGAAGGTCTATAAAATGCTAAACATCAACTAGAAAGAAGGAACTTCTATATCTAATAAACATGAAAGTTCTGTAAGGCATATTATCAAGTAATAAAAAGCAACTTTAAGAACTAACCATATATCATAAGAAGCCCCAAAACTCTTTCACAGTGATTCTTTTTGTTTTTGAGACCAAGAGTCTCACTCTGTTACCCTGAGCAGAGTGCTGTGGTATCATAGCACACAGCAACCTCAAACTCTTGGGCTAAATCAAACCTCTTGCCCCAGCCTCCTGCATAGCTGGGACTACCTATGTACACCAGCACACTTGGCTATGTTTTTTCTTTTTTTCTATTTTTAGTAGAGACAGGTCTCACTTTTGCTTAGGCTGGTCTCAAACTCCTGAGGAGTATAGGATTACAGGCATTGGCCACCACACCTGGCTACCAGAGTGTTAGTTTGAATTTCTATTTAATAACTTCAGAGAAATTCCTTACAGCTCCTTCCACTGAAAATTATCACTTTTGTATATATCTTTTTATTCCTTTTATAGATTTTATAGATACTTGGTCTCATTCTATCACCCAGGCTGGAATACAGAGGCAATATCAGAGCTCACTGTAGCCTTGAACTCCTGGGCTCAAGTGATTCCCCCTGCCTCAGCCCCCAGTATAGCTGAGACTATAGGCATGTACCACCACACCCAGCTAAGAATTTTTTTTTTTTTTGAGACAGAGACTCACTTTGTCACCATGGGTAGAGTGCTGTGGCATCACAGCTCACAGCAACCTCAAACTCTTGGGCTTAAGTGATTCTCTTCAGCCTCCCAAGTAGCTGAGACTACAGGTGCCCACCACAACGCCCAACTATTTTTAGAGACAGGATCTCGCTCTGGCTCAGGCTGGTCTTGAACTTGTGAGCTCAGGCTGGTCTTGAACTTGTGAGCTTAGCTAGGTGAGCTCCTAGCTAAGAATTTTGATTGGAGGGCACTGACAGAGGAAGTGAGGAGGCTGAGAGGGGAGTATTGTGTTGAATTGTGTCCACAAAGAGTGATAAAATGGTGTTCTAAACTTCAGGCTTGGCGCCTGTAGCACAGTGGTTATGGTGCCAGCCACAAACACCGAGGCTGGGGAGTTCTGACCCAGCCTAGGTCAGCTAAACAACAATGACAATTTCAACAAAAAATAGCTGAGTACTCTGGCAGGTGCCTGTAGTCCCAGCTACTTGGGAGGCTGAGGCAAGAGAATCACTTATGCTCAAGAGTTTGAGGTTGCTGTGAACTGTGATGTCACAGCACTCTACTGAGGGCGACATAGATTCTGTCTCAAAGGAAAAAAAAAAAAAGGAAAGTCAGTGCTGTTTAGTATATGTGTTCACTTTGGCAGCACATATACTAAAATTGGAACAATACAGAGATTAGCATGGCCCCTGTGCAAGGATGACATGCTAATTCGTGAAGCGTGCCATATTATTTTTATTACAGACAAAGAAAAGGCCCAGAAACTGAAGCAGTCTCTGCTCCCTAGTTTGGCAGTGAAGGAGCTGAAATGAAGCAGATATGCTGATTTGAGTTGTATTAAATTTTAAAAATTAAAAAAAAAAGAAATGGAAAGTCAGGGAAAACTGGGACTGGGACAGGGGTAGTTTCTGCATAAAAGGAACAGAATCTGTATGTATTGATCACATTGTTTTTCTTTTATGTATTTTATGATCTGCTACATAATGAAGCTTGCTGGCCTGGTAGACACTCCCCCTCCTGGGGTTAGCCAATAACTTAGCATACCGAAAGACTCAACTAGGAGCATATCTTTCTTATGCAAACCAATGAACCCAGAAGTTTATACCCATAAACACGTCATTCTCTAACTCTCACAAAAAAGGCCAATATTACCCCTGCCATAGATAAGCCATGACCAGGTACCAGGCAACTCAAGACTACACCTACAACCCAAAGGGTACTCAGGTTATTCCAGTGGGCCAGTCACAAGCCCTTTAATCTGCTCTGCTTGCCTGTCTTCAGGACCCCACCAAAGGATCTATCTCAGGCTCTCCCCTTACTCCTGTCTTCTGCCCCCTTACCAAAATCTGAATCTTCCCCTATGGCCTTCCGTGGTATTTGGTGACCTCTGCCTGCACCTATGAGCATATAGAGGTCTTTCTTCCAAACTTGGTTCTGCTGCCCTACCGTGGCTGCAGCAACTTTATCAGGCCATGTGCAAGAAGTCCATTCTCAGAACACTGCAGGTTTCAAGGACAGGGGCAAGGGCAGAAGAGGAGAGGAGAGAAGGAAAATATCTAACCCCTCTTGATGAGTTAGTGAAGATACATATAGATATATAGTCACACACACCACAGAATCTTTCTGCTTAGGAAGACCAATGAAAGTAGGGAAAGACCAATGAAAACACTGCCACCCACTTCAGAGGATCTCTGCCCTGAATGAGGTTGGGCCTGAATTGTTTGGCAGGACAAAAATGGTCCCTAGGAGCATATAAGAAGGATGGTGGATGGAGCTAGATACTACTAGCTAACAGTTGAGAGCAGTGGTTTTCAACCTTTTTAATCTCACAGCACACTTGAACCTATATTTAAACTTCCACAACACACTTAAATTATGTTGATCAAAAGAAAAAAGAAGTGCTTTGAACTTCTGAAAATGATTTAATTAATCATCTTTAAAAATTTTTGCAGCACACCTGTTGAAAATCACTGAGAGGTTGATTTGTCGCACATACCTCTCCTAAATTATGTGGATAGTAATGTACCTACTATGAATTAAGTACAATTAGTACTCCCATCCTACAGATTAAAGGTTAAGTATATTGCTCACCATCTCACAATTAGTATCAGAGATGGTTGTGTTCATGTTCCTCAAAGAGCTAGGGACCAGTGGATTTTCTAGATATATGAAACAGCATATGCAAAGACAGGGAAAAGCTCAGAGTGTAGCTCAGCTCTCAAAGGTTGTTGGAGAAAGTTCACAACACTCTGAAAAATAACCTAATCCAATAAATGAGAATTAAGGAAGTGTGACTACCACTGGCTGGGTTCTCAGGTCTTCATGTTTCAGCCAGTGTCTGTGCTAGAGTGAGGTCTCCTAGAGAGAGTTGCTTATAGAGTATGAAGGTAATAAACACATCAAAGCAAATATAAGAATGTATTAATAAAACATATGTTATTGAGACATTATTATATATCAGGTCATATGTACCATACACATAAATATTAATTCATTACTGAAGTTCAGCACTATGAGGAAAATTTAATTGGGTTTCCATTTTCCCAGTTCCAACACCTAAAAGGGAATGGCTAAAAAACAAAGACAAATGAACCTATGAAAGATCTACCAAGTAACAAAATGTGATGGGCAAGTCATTGGGATAAAGGGTATTGATGGCAGTGAGAAAGGGGTACCCTGTCTCAACAGACAGCTGTGTTGCACATAGGTCCAGATCCATCCTTGCTGTGGGACCTGGAAAATCTTTTTCATCTGGGCCTTAACTATACTGTAAAAGCTCTTCACATGAGTTGTAGGCAGTAATTAGAAAAGAAATGAAAAATGCAATAATAAAAATTTCTTGAAGTAATTTGTATCTTTTGAGTTTTTTCTTGTGCATTTTTTTTTGTCTTTTTGTTTTTTGAGACAGGGTCTCTCTCTGACACCCAGGCTAAAGTGCAGAGGCATCCTAATAGCTAGCTCACTGCAGCCTCTGACTACTGGGATCAAGAGATCCTCCCATCTTCGAGTAGCTGAGACTTTGGGCACACACCACTGCATCCACCTCAGGATTTTTATAGGAAGGCACTGACTGACAGAATGGGGTGAGAACGTGGACAAGTAGTGAGGGGAGTATTATGTGTTGAATTGAATCCCCAAAGGCAGTATGATGATGTCCCAAACGTCACAATGTAACCTTCTGTGGAGACAGAGTCCTTACAAGGTGGTCAAGTAACAGGATCCTAATCAATAACTATTGTCCCTATCAAAAAAGGGAACTTGGCATATACACAAGGGTGGGGCAATGGCACATGAAGGCAGAGGTCAGGGTAATGTGGCCATGAGCCAAGGAAAACCACAGATTATCAGCAGCCACCAGAAGCCAGGGGAGAGTCCTGGAGCAGATCCTCCATTACAGCCTCTGAAGGAACTAATCCTGTCAATTCCTTGACTTTGGACTTCTGGTCTCCAAAGCTCGGAGAGAATACTCTTATTTCAGTCACCCAGTGTCCTTTTAGGCAGCCCAAGGACACTGGGAGATAGGTGTCCCTCCAATAAACCACATTTCCTTATAGACTTGAGGAAAAAGAAATGGAAAGTCAGGGGAAGGAGGATTGGGATGGAAATATCTAGGTAGAAGGAACAGAATCTTCCTATGTTGTTGATGAGGTTTTTCCTATTTAAGATATTTTATGATATTCTGATCTCACACCTAGCTTGCTGATCTGGGAGAATCTTCCTCCTTCCCTTGCAGGAGTAGCCAATGCATCCAATACCTAAAGGCTCAACTAGGACCATGTCTTCCTTAGGCAGACCAATGAACTCAAAGTCCATACACACAAAACTTCCATCTCTAAACTCTCACAAGGCCATATTACCCCTGCCATAGATAACGTAATATACAGCTAGGTACCAGGCAACTCAAGACCACTCCTACAATGCAAAGAACCCTGGAAGTATGCCAATTAGCCGATGCCCAGCTATTTACACTGCTCTGCTTGCCTGTGCCTCCGAAATCTCACCAAAAGCCCGGGTCTGGTTTTCTCTTCACTCCTGTCTTCTGCCACCGTTCTAAACACTGGAGCTTGCCCTGTATCCCTGCTCACCATTTGGCATTTGGTGAGCCCCTTTGTGTGCACCTGTGAGTGCATACATGTCTTTCTTTCAATTGTGCTTCCCAGTTCTGCTTCCCTACTGTGGCTGCAACAACTTTATCAGGCCACATGCAACACATTCATTCTCAGACTCTGCAGTTTTCAAGGACAGGGCAGAGGCAGATGAAGAGACAAGGGAACTTCATGTCTAACTCACCTCACAGGACTGCTGATGATGGACAGTCCCGAAACTCAGAAGAAGTCTCTCTGCCTATGCAGGTTCTAATAGAAATAGGGCTACAGGGATGCTGCCCCAAGTAGATCGGGTCTGCCTTTGCCCACAGAACCCAGAGGCCTCCTAAAAGCAAAGAGGAAAGATGGTCAAAAAAGCAGATAGTAATACCAGCTAACTATTGAGAGAGTGCTATGCCCCACATACATCTCTAAATGACTTGGATGTGTTAACTTGTTTACTATTCACAAGACAGCGAAGTAGGTACACTCGCCACTTCCATCTTTCCCATGTGAGTTTAAGTACATTGCTCACTAAGTCAGGCATACTGAGCAACCAGGCAACTCGAGACCACTCCTACAATGCAACAGACCCTGGAATTATGCCCATTGGCCAATGCCCAGCTATTTCCTCTGCTCTGCTTGCCTGTCCTTCTGAAATCCCACCAAAGGCTCTAGGTCAGGCTCTTTCCTCACTCCTGTGCTCCACCACCTTTCTAAACACCGGAGCTTCCCCTGAGGCCCTGCATGGCATTTGGTGAGCCCCTCTGTGTGCACCTGTGAGCACATACATGTCTGATTCTGCTTCCCTGCTATGGCTGCAACAACTTTACCATGTGCAACAGGTCCATTCTCAGAACACTGCTGGTTTCCAGGATGGGGCAAGATAAAGAGACAAGGGAAGTTCATGTCTAGCTCACCTCAGTGGACTGGTCACCAACAATGGACAGTCACAAAACTCAGAAGAAATCTCTCTGCTTATGCAGGTTCTAATAGGGATAGGGCTACGAGACTATGCCCCTAGTGGGGCCAGGCCTGTGTTGGCATGCAGAACCCTGAGGCCTCCTAGGAGCAAAGAGGAAGGATGGTCAAAAGAGCAGATAGTAAAACCAGTTAACCATTGAGAGAGTGCTATGTCCTACATACAATCTTCTAAATGACTTGGGTATGTGAACTGGTTTACTGTTCATAACAAGACAGCAAAGGAGGTACAATTGTCACTTCCATCTTACCCATGGGAGTTTAAGTACATTGCTCACTAGGTCAGGCACACTGAGCACCCAGGAAAATCAAGACCACCTGAACAACCCAAAGTCACTGGAATTATGCCAATCGGCCAACCCCCAGCTACTTCCTATACTCTGCTTGCCTGTTGCTCCAAAATCCCACCAAAGGCCCTGGGTCAGGCTCCCCTCTCACTCCTGTCTTCTGCCACCTTTCCAAACTCACCCTTACATGGCATTTGGTGAGCCTCTCTGTCTATACCTGTGAGCACATAAACGTCTTTCTTCCAACCCTGGTTCTGCTTCCCTGCTGTGGCTACAACAACCTTACCAGTCACATGCAACATGTCCATTCTCAGAACACTGCACATTTCAAGGATAGGGGCAAGGGCAGATGAAGAGACAAGGGAAATTCATGTCTAACTC